GGCGGAGCAGAGGACCACCAGAGCCAGACAGTAGACCACCACGGCGGAGCAGAGGACCACCACGGCAGAGCAGACGGAGCCGGGACCCATGGCAGAGACTGGGGCCTAGAGAAAACAGAGACAGACAACACAGGCAGTGCATTCCTGGTTTCAGGGACCAAGGCAGGGAACACAAGAAGCTCATCAATGTTCTCTAGGGCAGTGACAGAGTTAAAGGGACAGACACAGAGTGCATTATTATTCTCTGTTTAAGGGTTCAAAAACGGGGTTTTGGGCTGTGACAGACAGACAGACAGTTTCAGGTGTGACAGATAAGGCAGAGAGTTCAGAAACAGCTTCTTTGGCTGGGTTGAGACAGGGTAATAGTTCGTAAACGGCCTCCATAGCCGTGACAGGACGGACAGAGAGTTCACAGACGGCCTCCCTGGCTGGAACAGAACAGGCAAAGAGTTCACAGACGACCTCCATAGCCGCCCATAGCCGTGACAGGACGGGCAGAGGGTTCACAGACGGCCTCCATAGCCGTGACAGGACGGGTAGAGAGTTCATAAGTGGATACCACTGACACCTCTGGAGGTTCTGCAGCGGATGCCGCCACCTCTGGAGGTTCTACAGTAGCACCACCAGGAAATAGGGAGAGTTCATTAACGGTTCCTTCGACTACGACATGACAGGCTGTGAGTGCCTTGCTGGGCGCCACCACCTTACAAGGAGTTGAAGCGAGCGCCGCCGCCTCGGGAGGTTTTGCAGCATCAGCCGCCACCTCTGGAAACATCATAGTAGGCGCCGCTGTTTCAAGAGTCTCAGTGGTGGTGTATGCAGCCCATACACTCCATAAAGCGATCCCCATTATGGGAAGCGCTACAGACGGGGGAATAGGTTCAGGAACAGGAGGGCTAGAGTGAGTGGGTTTGGGAATACCGGCTGCGCCTGCAGCCACCAATGGTGGGTCCTCCACGCTGGATGCCAGTCTGGGATACCGATGAACAGTCCCTGAGGGTCTGGGTGCCACAGACAGGAAGTGACAGGACTCTG